AATTTCATATGCGTAAATGGATGCTAATTTTCTAAAGAAACTACTCAATCGAAATCTATTGATAAGTATTGTTTCTTTTCTATAATGTGCGACAAACAAAATTCAAAATGTAGAAATCGGTAATTTAACATCATGAGCTCAGAACACACACGGTATGGTCATTTTTGTGAAAAAGGTTCGATCTACAAACATACCTATTCTAAATAATAGAATTTTAGTGAATGTTAGCTTAGGAATGCTATGGAAGAGAGAGTAAGTTCTCTTACTAGAGAACCTCTAAGTAGCAATCTAGTGGTGGACTTAATTTCAGTTAAAAAAAATGAGATTAGATTATCTTGGTATAGAGGGTATACTTTGATGACTTAATTACAATACCATCTATTAATAGATTAATTAACTGAATCATATGTGTTATTTTAGCTAGTAGTTAGCATGTAACTGGTGTTTAAATTGATTATATTATGTACCTCTAAATGAAAATCATATCAAAGATGTGTTTTATTTCATTGACTTTGTACTACTGGATTGGCATGCTCTATTTTCCTGTCTAGCTCCTAAGACTTCAATTTTAAATATCAAGGCGGCATTCACTTTCATAATTCTAACTTGACATCCTAAGGCGTGAGCTCATCTGCCTAATAAAAATCTTGTTGTGGTTGTTCATCACTTTTTCTGATAATGAATGGCAAATACAGAGCACGCTGCCTATGTCACTACCTCGTATGCTACGTCGAATTACGTATTTAATACCCAACCGCTTTTACAATTCTAAGATAAGATAAGCGGTTTATCTGTTGATGACATAGCCCAGTTACGCGCCGTGAACACCGATTCAATACGCGAGGTTAACTCCATTGTTTGCTTTATCAGAAAAAATATATATCCTTTTCATTGTCAGCGAGTAAACAAAAATATTTCAGATGTATCTATCGCTGATCTATTTTATGTACAAGTAAATTAAAAGTTAGCTGACGGTTATTGCGTGGTTGTGGGAATCAGAATGTTCTTGTTCAACGCAAACACGTTCTAACAATCGTTTAACCACGGGTCATGGACATTACGATGTGTCATTAACTGCTGTTAATGTTTCTAACGGGTTCGACCTTTCACTGTCTTACGAAGAGAAGTTGGTTCAAAGAAATATACATCTAGTATCAAAATCAAAGAATTTTTATTCAAGTAGGCCCTTACAGGCGCTTTCAAGTCTTCACGTTTTTTTTTTATTGCTTAGATATGAGTGGACGAGCTCACAGCCCACCTGATTTTAAGTGGTTACTGGAGCCCATAGACATCTACAACGTAAATGCGCCAACCACCTTGAGATAGAAGTTCTAAGGTCTCAAGTATAGTTACAACGGCTGCCCCACCCTTCAAACCGAAACGCATTACTGCTTCACGGCAGAAATAGGCAGGGCGGTGGTACCTACCCGTGCGGACTCACAAGAGGTCCTACCACCAGATTTTACTTCCGATTCGAATGCAGTTTCACCACTGAGAAGAATCGGTCAGAAACTCAAGGCTCATCGTATTAAAAATCGTAGATAATGTCGTTGAATTTTTCACTAATCATATTACGTCTTACGATGAACTTCAAAAAGGAAATCCCAAATTTCATAAACCAAGAGAATTATAAAGAAAAAACAAATGATTCGTGAATCCTTTGACAATATCGTGCTGACAATCACCAATACTACCAGTTAGTGATGTATTCATTTTCAAATCACTCCCTTGGATGTGTATAAAAAATTCGAAATTCCCAATGTACTTTTGCTTCTTAAATTCACATGAAAAACGAAACCTTTGTCAAAGCCCACAAAGAACCTTCTTCGAAATATTCCCAACTAATAAGGGTTAGATACCCGCACATAACAGGTACTAACGTAGGTCGTATTACCGAGAAATCTTGTTTACAATCTAGTTTAGTACCAAGCGTTAAGATGTCACGTACCATAGAGGCCGTTTTACGTGTTACTTCAAAAGAGTTCACATGTGATTCATCATCCTGACCCACATCAAGCCTTATTGTACAGTTGTAGTTAAAATAAGTAACTTTCTTCACGTACTTAAGCCAGCTCAAACAATGCTTAGTGTAGTTGTTTAGTGTAGCTTATCGGCACAATTTATAGGTTCTTTTAGACATTTACGTGTTTTACTTTTATTTCTAGTCTTTAGAGATCGAATTAATATGATATTACTTTTAAATTGTTTTGTTTGGCCATTTGGACGTTTTATGTTAATTTCGGTACATTAAGTAGGCAATAAATGTTTCAAAGGAAGGCAGTATAACATGCTCATAAAATAACATAAATCATCTGTTGTTGTTCTAAAACCAAGATCTATCGTTTTCTAACAGTCTTTTATCAATATTGCAGCCAAATTATTTTCATTCCAAATATTTGCTTTCACTGATGCATAATAATAATGCATTAAATCTGGACTCTCTATTTTCATCCAGGAAATATCTAAAAGCACTTAAGTAGTTCTAAGGCGAGCTGAGCCTATAAGGATCTTGCGTTATGCTTTAAACCACACTTTATCTCGAATTATACAAGGAAGCAATCTTTAAAGCAAATACTTCATCATATACAGTTCTATCTTCAAACAAATATAATAGTTCAAACCGTGCCCAACACAATTTTTAGGGATCTAATTAAAAGATTTAATTTCCAATTTCATACCTGCAACATGTACTTGGCAAACAATGCCTATGGATAAATATCAAAGATATCGTATAATATCGCTATTTCTCTTTGGCAGCCGTAATCAGAATGGTCTTGAAACATGGAAAGTGGCGTCAGCGTGCTATTACAATGGTCTCGCTGCGTTAACAGGCACAAATGACTGGGGGTAATGACACGGCAGATGCTTCGAAATGTGTAAATTGTATCGTACTAAGCTCTGATAAAGACGTTATAGTTTAAATAGTCAGGCCGTTAAGTGTGCGATTAAAACTAACAGTAACAGTATCAGAACAAACAAACGTTCACGTCGGCTGCGTTGGATTTATTTAATCGGGAATCAAGAGCCCGTTAATATATCGATGAAGCGAGGTTTAATATCCTACTCTCTGCCACGCAAATTGCAAACGTGTTGCAATCTCGGATCTGATGGAAAATAATTCAAGTTCAATTAAGAGATTCTCTGTTGGATTTCTAACTACGTCTGCTTGGCAGGCAATTTGCAGCGGTGTAGGTTCCAGAATTGCTTATAACTCAAGCGCGAATGGAGAATTTATTTGCTGTTTGAATGTACCGTGACTTCGTTTTGATTTAGCGCTGTGGTGATAGGTTTCTCCCAGAAACAATTTGACGTGCGCCATACATAGATTCATTCATACCTTTGAACTATTTATTGTTTTAGATGTACCTTATTTATTATTTCATCATTTTTTACTGAGTCAACTTTTAAATTTAGATGAAGTGCAATTCTGAATGTCCTAGATTAAGCTATAAAATAAATCCTCCTCCATTTTAATTTGTTGACCTGTTATTAAATCTTCGAGCTTAAATAAGCATAAGACCTAGGTAATTTTAAAGATATTTTCCAATTTTTCCAAAAAGTTTTCTTTGTTAGGAATGAAGGATTACTGGTGTGGCGGAGCCCTTTCAATTTCATCAGGAAAGGTGGGCGAGCAGGAAAGGTTCAGAAAAGTTACCAAAGATTAGAAAATTGTTCTAAAGTCGAGAAACTCGAAGTTTCGACTTTGATGATCATATTTGTACCAAGGATTCCGATCACACGTCCTAGAATGTATTAAAAAACTTGGTATTCGTTTTTTCGATGGATTATAAATGATAACTAATCTAATCACAGAGCAGATTTAGCACATACTAATAAATATTTTATCTTAGTAAGAACTGCTCATATATGAGGCCATCAGCGCAAAAGTGGCCTAACCCACAATTTTTTATATTCTAGCTTATATGACGTATATTGGAATTTATTTCAAATATAATAAATTTTAATGCAAATCCGGCCTATCCATAGTTTCACCCATATATAACAGATAGCTTTGTAAGCATTGTTTTTGCGCGTATTGTTTTTTTGCCTACTCAAATTCAAATTCATGAAAATTCAAACCTAATTGCCTCCATACTTACTATGGTAAGCTTATGCCACTTTTGCGCTGACGGCCTCATATGGGATTGGCCGGCCGTTTTGCAACGAAAGCTTTGTGAAAATTAACGCTCGGATGCAGCGAAGCGATTGTAATCGATTGTTTCAGAAAATCGAGTTTCCGTGCTATCCCACCTGTTTTGGTGTAACGGACATCAACGGCTTTTGCACATCTGGGCCTTCGAGGCGCGGTCAGTTGGCACCAATTAGGTTTATATTACAAACACTAAGCATTTCTAGTGATATATGGTCTGTGCCTTTTCCGTTGTTATTGTCTATGATAAAAAATATCTATGTGATTATGTACTAACCTAACTAATATTTTAACAAACAACTCTTACAATAATTACCCAAGATATTGTTCATTATACGATGATGGAATAAAATGAAACACTTAATTTTTATAAATTAAAATGACGGCGGTTATATTACTAAGGTTCTGCTTAATTTTACTACAAAGCTATCCTGCGTCCTAACCCCAAAACCTTTGAGTAAGTCTCAAGGTGAGCGACGATATTTGCACAGTGAACTCCAATATTTAATCTAGCGTAGGTGAGCAGTGAATTTGAATCAAAACAGGGAATCATTTTTTGGTTTTCTTTATTTGTGCAATTTTCGTTGTTGAATATGCATCATTGATTGTCAATCCAAATACCTAGTGTGACGAGTCCTCAGTCCTTGACAACTTAGTGCTAATGTGTTACCAACATATAAAAAAATGATTGTCAACTTAGAGGTTATAGTTTTGTTCTCTCATAATTTAACAAGATTTATAATCCAATAAGCAGTCAATAAATGTAGCATTCCTAACTAGATTACGTTCTATACATCGATTTTATAGAGTAAGCTTGAAATAAATAAGTTTTAAGTTTGGAAAAAGTTACCTGTTATTGTTGCCAACAGAACCACCAAAGCCGTCACACCTGTCGCACCCACCCGCTTGAGCCTCATCTTGTCTCTTTTCAACGTTTTGTTCGTTCTCGAATAAAACAAAACAACCGAAATTTCAAACTTAAACGTTAGCGTCCACTAGCAAAAACAATTATTTTTCACGTCTTTTCGATAACATAAAATATCGTTCGATCAAGATAAAATGAAACTATAAATTGCACAAATACAGTCAGAAATAATACGATACTTTCTTAAAAAGTACTTTTGAGATTAATAGTTAAAGCCATTGTTAAGATTCTAAAATGATAGAAGGTCCAGGACGTAATCCCGGGAGAATACTATCAGAAACTTGTTTCGTGTGAGAATAGAAGCCCGATACCCGACCGACATACGTCCACTCTCTACGAACTGTGAGCGATACTGTCGCGACGAGAGCGACGCGCCACTGCGGCGACAGAACGCGGAACTACCGATGGTCACGGACGGCATTCAAGTTGCGTCGACGAGCGAGATTCTGTCAGCTCTGGCACATTTTGGGCAAGGATCTAGATTGGGCGAGCGTAGTTCTTTATTAGGTCATTAACCTTAAATTTAAATTTTGTATAATGCAATATAATTCACCAAATTTTTTTATTTTATAGATATTTACCACTGAAATGTTTTCTGTAAAAGAGCCACGTGTTTATTTGGATAAAGAATTTAAGCAAAATAAAGTATGAAAACCCAACTAAGTAGTTCAAATATGTTAATCGTTTGAATAGATTGGTATTATTAGAACATAATATAGGAATAGGACAGTGCGGCCAATGACCGATAATTTCTGTCAACGTCTCACCAATAATTCACCCAAATTTGTTTTAACAGATATTTGATTCAGTAGAAATATATATTATATACTACCACTACTTTCTACTACTCACAGGCGAAGGTCAATCAAAAATTCATCAGTTCACCATATTAAGTTGAACTACTTAGATTATTACACGTGACCCTGTTGTCTTTCAGCTATTCACTCATCGTCCGTCTAGATCTAGAACAAGGTTGATCATCCCATGCCATGAATTTTATATGGCTCACGCAATAAAGAAATATAATAACTGACCCAGCCTTACAGTTCCAGATGGTTTTTGAAATAAACTTCCGTCAAAAAATACGGCTTATCACCTTTACTTACTTACCACACTGAAACTTTAATTAAAGACTTACAAACAATTTCCTATATTTTGAAAAAATTTGTCTTTGTTTATTTAGTATAAACAATAATCAAATTACATTTATATTTCAAAATATTCGACTTTTATTATAAAAGTCTTACATAAAAGTTCTAGAAATAGAACAAGTCTGAATCGTTTGTTTGTCCTGACTGTTAAAAAGGTCTACTTCTAAGTAGAACTTTTTAACAGATCTATCTCGAAGCAGTATTTTCTTACTTTCATTGTGAAATTCTTTTTTTATTGAACGAGCTTATGACCCATCTACAATTTTTGCTACGAGTATTTTATTCCTTTATAGTGGAAGCCATTCGTGAACATGAGTGAAGTATTTATTTCATTTAAAAAAATCTGTACCTGTCGATGGGATTTCAACATTTCAACAACGAAATAGCTGCATTGCTTGATATGAGTACGTCAGGCGTTTTACTCTTTATGCCACAACGACTTGAAGCGCTTCTAAAACTTTTACCTTTACTGATCGTAATATTTGTTACACCATAAATTAGTCCTAATAACCTTAGTACCACTACTAGCCCGCGTATTTGTGCCATATTTCAATCATATATTTAGATTTAAATTTATTTTTTGTTCTAAGCCAATGTAGTCTTTGAATCGATGTCTCCGCAAGCCGCTTAAGACCAGAATTGCCGTGAACTCGGCTCTCATACTGAAAGGAGTAATTTAGAAAGTTGTAATCTAAATCATTTCTAAAAGATGAAGATACATCAAAATCACAACTATTTTTTTCATGATTGAAAGATTACTTTTGGCCCGAAAACCTTTCCTGTTTCACCACGACAGGTGGATGGGGATTAGCTAACAACTAGCCCAGCGTTTCTGAAGGAGACCTATAACTCGACAGAATGAATCTACTACCGGATCGGAATCGCGACCCGCTGGGAAAATCCGGCGAGAAACTCAGCGGGCTGATGCATGGGCTAGGTTGCACGTCGAACTCTTTACCGAAATCGACGAGTACAATGGCCGGGGTCCTAAGCCTGCTCCTAGCGTTAGAGCCGAAGGTGTCAGTAAAATGTTATCGGTCGCTGGAGACCAAGGAAAAGAAACACACAGAGACAAAACTCTTTTTCAAGTTATTCTACGAACTATGCAACAGATTCCGTTAATCACGGCAATCGTTCTTAGTGTAATATTGTTCCGCCACAGTTGGAAACAAATCTATACATACGAGTAAATACAACATTACCGAGACACGTCTGATAAGCCACGCGTGTTCTAAACCAGTGAATCAATTCTGAGGAAGTATTCCTTTATTTACTCTGAGAAACATTTCTAAAATTACGTTAATATTACTTGGTAAATTGTTCTTCGAGGTAAATAAACAGACAGGTTTTTAATTAAATTTGAAGTCCCTTAAATTTTGAAGTTTACATTTGTTTCTTTAACTTTCGATTAGTACATTTACTTTACGAACCGTTATTATTTTCATTCTATTGTATATTTAAATAACAATACAAAATACACAGACATAACAATTCTGTAAACGAACCATTACCGACAAGTGACGTTGATGATAGTGCTGGTAATATGATAACATTAAAACCTGGACGGGAATATTTTAGTTATATTAAAGTTATAACAATGCACACAATAGAGTTAATTCTAATACAGATCCCCGACAATGGATACTGAGGTGGAAAATCGCCACTTTTGATTTAGGTTAGGCAAAGATTATTCATTACGTAAAATACAAGACTGCTGAAACTGTATATAATTATATGTTGAGCACATAGCGCTGGGCTTAACGAATGTATTTTCTTTTTGTATTATAATGCTTATATGGTTTCATTTTCGGCTTCAGTTCACTTACTTAACATCCTGTTTAAGAGAACACAGAACAATACCTTGACGATACAGTGGTTTTAAATACTTTGCTTATATGAACAGGGTGTCTAATAAACATTATTTTTAAAGCTTTATCAGTGATCATTCAAATCGTGTCAATGTTGGAATGCGGAAAATATGTAGTCTTTGTTAACACAACACAACACACAAACAGATTAAAGGCGCTCAAAAAGCATTAGGATTACGACGTGTAAAAGTCAATGTTTATTTGTTCCATTATTGTGACTGTCTAAGGATTGTGGAAATCGGTTAATAGACTTTGTTAACGTAAAACTTAAGTATATATAATAAAAAAATTACATGTGTGCAATTCACACGTGGTAGAAGTGAAACCTTCCAAAATTAAAATACAATTATCCTAACCGTCTTAAGTATATGTAAAATTTTGTCATTAGTAAATAATTGTAAGGTAGCGGCCTCTGTGAATTGATATTTTAATTTCACGTATAATCCTAAATTAAAATTCACTACAAGAGCTTTCATACACACGTTAGTATTAAAAAATCTCACAGATGGCGCTGTATTAAATAGTATGTATATTTCTGTCTCATTCTTTGCTGGCTTCATCCTACACATTTTTGTATTCGTGTCTCTTACCTGTCGTTTTTTCCGTTGCATCCGGTTTGAAATCACAACGATTCTAAAGAAGTTTTCACTTCAAAAAATATTTCGATATAATATTAAAGCGTGTACTAAAAGTGGTATTTAAAATTATATGAACAATGAGGTAGGTTTATTTATTGATTACAGATACTACGGAATACTGTGTACTCATTTAATACAATCGAAAAACGAATAAATTATGAAAAAGTATGATGCGCACCATAAATTAAAGTTTGAATGGGTACAACAAAAGGCATTAAGTTGAAACTTTTAACTAAAATCGGTTGCGTAAATATTATTTATGGCTCTATAAATTAACTTTTTGTTACGATGTGTGTTGGTTTAATTTAATTCGTTTTAAACAGCGTTTTATGACGAAAAGAAAGTGGTGAAAGTTAATGTGTACTGTAACCGTGCAATAATAACTGTAATTAAAACAATTGTTATAAATATTATGTTGAGCGTTGTAATTCTTGGGCATTTTTAAGGACAAATATGTACAAAGATAAAATGAAAATTTGTAAGGATTTAATTTGAACTATCAAGCGTAGAGTCCGCTTTGTTATATTTTAAATGTTTTGCTAAACAATGAATCTTTTCAAAACATTTTTTTAACATCGAAAAACAACTGGACTGTCTGTATTTTTATATATGATGCCAACTAATTTCCATGCTAGTTGATAAAGTTTAGACGTCATTTTCAATGATTAAGGCATTGACAATTAGAGATAATTTTACAAATGTATGGTCTTCATTTAAATCGGCTGATACATTCAATATGTCTAAGACTGAATTAAAAAAATGAAGCTGAATTCAGACCCACCAATGTATTTATTGGAAATCATATATCATATATAACTTGTATATCAATGACATGCTGTCTATTGATGGCATGCATTGCTATGCGGATGACAGCACGGGGGATGCGCGATATATCGGCCATCAGAGTCTCTCTCGTAACATGGTGCAAGAGAGACGATCAAAACTTGTGTCTGAAGTGGAGAACTCTCTGGGGCGAGTCTCCGAACCCGTTAAAGACACAAATTTGCCCGTTCACTGCGAAGAAGGACCCCTTTGCCATGGCGCCGAAATTCCAAGGAGTATCCCTGCAACCTTCCGAGAGCATCGGGATACTTGGGGTCGACATTTCGAGCGATGTCCAATTTCGGAGTAATTTGAAAGGCAAAGCCAAGTTGGCGTCCAAAATGCTGGGAGTCCTCAACAGAGCGAAGCGTTACTTCACGCCTGGACAAAGACTTTTGGTCTATAAAGCACAAGTTCGGCCTCGCGTGGAGTATTGCTCCCATCTCTGGGCCGGGGCTCCCAAATACCAGCTTCTTCCATTTGACTCCATACAGAAGAAAGCCGTTCGGATTGTCGATAATCCCATTCTCACGGATCGTTTGGAGCCTCTGGGTCTGCGGAGGGACTTCGGTTCCCTCTGTATTTTGTACCGCATGTTTCATGGGGAGTGCTCTGAGGAATTGTTCGAGATGATACCAACGTCTCGTTTTTATCATCGCACCGCCCGCCACCGGAGTAGAGTTCATCCATACTACCTGGAGCCACTGCGGTCATCCACAGTGCGTTTCCAGAGATCTTTTTTACCACGTACCATCCGGCTATGGAATGAGCTCCCCTCCACGGTGTTTCCCGAGCGCTTTGACATGTACTTCTTCAAACGAGGCTTGTGGAGAGTATTAAGCGGTAGGCAGCGGCTTGGCTCTGCCCCTGGCATTGCTGAAGTCCATGGGCGACGGTAACCACTCACCATCAGGT